TATTTAGATATTAATCGAAACCATCAGCGCGTACGGGTCCGAACTTCTGCTCATCAAGAAACGACGATTTTGTTACAAACACCCAGCAAATTGTTCACCCCGTATACATATGTATCAAATGAAATGAAAACACCTGCATGTACATGATGGAAAAACTAACCCCGTGTGCCATAATTTTCATTAGCCAGCAATTGAAATTTTCGTGGCCTCCCTCTCCCACCCCGCAGTTGGTTAATGGACATTTTCGGCAATTGTCGATTAATAATTCATGTGTGCGGCACACATGTCGGTTGCCTCCGGACTCCCCGCTCGCCGACGCTCCACCTACAGCTTTTGTCCCGCCTCCTAGCAAGCTAGAATAGTTGGTTTAGTTTTTCCATTTGCGGTTTCGTTTGTCCACTCTACGGAAAATTGAACATCACGGCACGCAATTTGGAAAGGAAAAGCATTGCGAGCTTCACACGATCGATATGGGCGACTGGTAAATTATCTTTTTCGATGGGCGGTCTTATACCCAGATGGAATGGGAAGGGGTAAGGTTAGGGTAGGAGTTGCTGTGGGGGTGGAGTTGTGTCAGTCCAGTCTAGTTCAGTGGCAAAGAAAAACCCTCTATGTACCACTAGCAATGCGGAATTTCGGTGTGGAGTACAGTAATGGGGTAATGGTAATGCGAAGTGGAGATCCAATAATGGGGACTGACATGCGTGTGTCAATCGCACAAAGGTCCAAAATTACCTGCTGGTTGGGGCTTTATTGACCCAGCTCTGTTTGGTATGGTGACCTCTTAAGCAACGCGAAAAATATAGTCCAAGTTCGTTCTGTAGCATGTGGACACAGTTCATTGCGTAGTTTTTCGAACACTCTCTCTTTGCACTTCATTCATTATGCAATACTGGGCCAAGCAATTTGTTAAGTACACCCCCTCTGAGAACCTACGATAGCGACTGAACAATAGACATACCTTCAATTAGCTGCCGTGACGAGCCTTTTATTTTTAACACCTGTCCACCCAGGGCCATGCGTCACCGCTATCCTTCACTCTAGTAAAATCCGATATTAAAATCAAACACAGATTTCCTTCCAGGCAATCTCCGCTTTAAAAATATAAATAAAGTCTTAAATATAGACAAATCGTAGCTAGAAAAGTAGTTGGAGGTGAGCTCTTTAAAAACCAACGTCGAAGGACCGTCAACGGACCTCCGTGGTGAGGAAACCTTCAGGGTTTGCCGAGCCGAGCTCCCGAACTACTACTCGTACTCGTAATAATATAAATGTTACGTTGTTACGTGGGTTTGGGTTGTGGGCTGTGTTGGGGCCGAATAACACAATGACCTTTACGCGAAATGACCAACGTGTGTACCTGTCCCCTCAAAGTGCACGGCGAGCAAACGACATTAAAGTGATAAGCGCGCAAATTTCAGGACATGGAACGCCCGCAATCATCGTGGGGAAATCTAACGATTGTCGCATTGTTTTTTATGGGCCACATCTATTGGGTTCTGGACAACAGCCAATACAAAAAGCTAATCGTCCCCTCTCAGGGGGAGGTCCGATCTGGACATGTGCTCCATTTGCATACCCACTGCCGAATGAAGTGAAGGAGTATACTCGTCAGGTGAGCGGCGTTCCCTTCTAAACTATTAGGACTCATAGGTAATTGTAGAGTGGTGCGACTACTGGTAGATCCTAATGGTGCCATACTTTCGAAATTGCTTTCTTTTTTGGCAGCCCGTCTAATTATGTGGACTACATTGAACGAAGACCATGAATTTTTTATGGCACACGTATGCCAAAGACATGCAATGTTTGAGGCAACTGATAATTTGGATAGAAAATAGACGGAACTCGACGAGTGGGCCTCGCAACTTGCGTAAGAGCCCACCAAATTCGAACAGTGGAACTTGTTATTGGCTTTGTTGTAAACTTTTCAGTGGGTTGTTTGTCGGAAGTCAGGGACCAGAGCACTTTTAACGTTGAAGCTCATCAAATTTTTATGTTGTATCATAATTTTATAAATGGGCCATCGAATGACCCACCTGAAAACAGCCATATGTTCCCTCCAACCCCACCTTCCAATGAGTCCACACGTTAGTCCAATAATTCGCATGCCCGAATCGAAACTGCCAAAGTCAAATCCTCGTCCAAGTGGTCGAATGGGGCGGGAGGCGGCTCATCATAATCGGTATTTATTGAAAATGTGTTTTTGTTAACCCGTTCTGTTCATAAAAATAACCTTCTTCCACGAATTGACTCTAGAGGAAGTTAGAGTTAAGGGTTGGCCGAGGTAGGCCTGACTTCTGTGAGCTTGTGTGGATATGTGTTTATTGCTTTTCATTTGCATTTATTGCCATTTCAATACGTGGGGCTATCATCCTTGGCAATTTGAGGCGTTTAGCGCAAATTTCTTTTCAATATTTGTTCACCCAATAAACCCAAATCGCTCCACCGAGTAGAGTGGTCAGTTAAGCCTTTTTCGTTCTCTGAATTTGATTGCAAATTCGGTTACAGTTGTTTACTTTTTCTAACGTTTATGCGATCTGCGTGATGGGAATTCAAATGCTAGTCGTCTGTACCTATGCTGGAAATTCTTTCTTACTAATCAGGAAATGTTCGGTTATTCTAATTAATCACTTGCATTCCTTATTATGTGTCCAGCGCTAATTACGCCGTTTCAATATTTGTCCATGGAGTAGTGGGACGTCATGTGCGTACTTCCAAATCAAATATACTGTCAAAAGCCTAATGATGATTTCTTGGGCGATTGGCCAAGAAAACAGTTTACCTGGCTGTCGGAAAATTCCATTAGAGTATGGTCTATTAATTAGCCAAAAAGAATGTGTTAAGTGGAAGTGGGTGGAAGGCTGAAAGGGCATGCTCGAGAGGTAATTTAGCCTACATACTGGGATACGGTTGTAAACGAGATTGAGGTTCGACTTCAACAAAAAGCTGCCTTGAAGGCGGAAAGAGCCTCGTAAGGATCACCATCACCTACTCTAATATCTAGTCATTTCTCTCAATGAACATTTCCCTAAGGAAATTCATGGTATAACAGTTAAGTTTGATAAGCGCATGCGTTATTTCTGTTCAGAGCGTAAGGTCTTCCAATGCCTTAGCAAATTCCCTCCATCCATGAGTTAGGGCATTTGTTTACAAACAACTGAATAAAGGGTTAAGTAGAGAAAGGTGCACTTTCCCCTGGGCGGGGAGCTGCCATGCAAATATTTTCAATAATTACCTCCACCTGTTGCGCAATCCCAAATGTGCATGTGCACCTCTACGGAGGAGGACTCGAAAAACTTGTCCATTTCATGTAGTCCATTCGAAGGCAATTACTTAACTATGTGGAAAGGGAAGGATTCGTGGACAGGCAACGGGAACATGGCCAGACAGACATGCAAATTGCAGTTTCATGAAACAGAATTGGATTGCTCCTACCTTTGGAAGTGGCAGGGTAGGTGGTTCTTCGCATTTCGCATGACATTTTGCGGTCCCACTGCATTCACTTAACATTCTTTTTCGCTTTGTACGATAACACCACCCTTGGCGTTACGCCCTCTATTCACTTTCTGGGCTGAGTTTTTGTTTTATAACATTTAAGCACAACCGTCATCAAATCTAATTGGCGTCGTCGCGTCGGAGTGCCTTAAATTGCCGGTCTGCATTTGATTTTTTGCACTGATTTCGATACCAACTGGGGCTAAGGGACGGACCCGGGTCTGGGTAGGGATACCGTGCTGTGCTGCTTGAATCAACGATCAGCGAACCATCAGGTCGCCATAGAAGCATTAGTTAGATATTCCATTACTTTGTGAATCCTTCTGGCGTACTGGCTTCTTAAAAAACCGCTGGCCTTTGAACTAATAACAACTCGAAGAACAACAAAAACAATGGCAACAACTTGATGCAATAATTTGCCACAACTTTTATACTGACCACAACAACATGCAATATGCAGCAGGCTCGTCAAAACAATAGCAACATGAACAAAAAACGAAATATTCGCAAGAGGATTTTCCCAACGGGGCATTTAAAAATGCATGAGCAGAGAGCACTCAATGCGGTTATCGTGTTCTGTGTATAGTGGTCGATCCGGGGTGGACATCGACATGGACATGGGCCTGGGCGTTGGCTTGAACATGCAGGTGCAAATTCTAAGCAACCGCAGGCGCCCCTAAACCCAAGTGAACCGACAGACTGACGAATTGACGACATGGCTCAGAAGGACGGCTTTCGTTTGGCATTTTATCGGTGGGTAGCGCACTTTATATCTAAACTATGAATCAATGCATTAGTACGTCACCTTGTACGCTCTACTTTAATTACCGCTTTTTATGCCCTTTACCTTCCTCACACTCTCCGCCAGCACAATTTCTCTCTTTTTAATCGTGACTTAAAAAATTGCACATAACAAATGAAACAAAAAATAGCAAAGCAAAATTCCTGCCACAGAACGTCATATTATTAGCAAGGCCCAATTCCCTTTCCCTTTCTCATCGCAGTGGATGCAAAAATATTGCATTACAGTCGTTTTCCCTCTTTGGAGCTCACGAGTTGGCACGCGCTTTGTGGCGGGCAATTGCGAATTATATTTCATGTTAATGCAGAGTCCTTATCGCTGAGCGCTCGAAATGGTCGCAATGGGTTCATTTGTGCTCTATTTGGACGGTAATTTTACTTAATTGCGCTGACGTTGGGGGCGAAGGCTCAATCACCTCGCATCCACGCGCAAAAACCTTTGAGGAGAGGTTCAGCCCCGTTGCATTACTGATTCATATCTTCACCGTTATGGTCGGTGCTTCTGGGTTGTTCATTAAATATTTAAAAGTTGTGCCTTATTGAAAATTAAAAGCAATTTCATCAAGTGCGAATAGTCCTTGTCCTTTTGGGAACGCGATTGTTTTAGAATGATAGCCGCTTTGTCTTTTGTGTACATTTAAGTTTTATTTTTGTATTTGAATGCAATCGTGGTTTACAAAATATCGATTTTTTTCAACGTTTCCTTGCACATTCATCATTTAATAATAAAAAGTAATTATAAACAACATTTTCAATAAAAAAATAAAAATAATAAACATGTGGATGCATTTTCTCATAGACGTTTGCGGATACGGATACTTTAAGACTTCTTAGTGTTTATGTCATGTGGTTCATCAACTCGTAATCTTAAAAATATATATGTAGATACTCGTATATGTAGGTTTTATAAAAGGTGTACTGCATGTGCTGTCTATCTCGGTTGTTGTATTTGTATTTGTAATTTTATACGTGGGCTGGGTGTATGTGTTGCTGGGTTTGGAGTCGTGGGCTGTTTACTTTGAAAATTTTTAGAAATAGTTATAAAATCTACTGTGTTTGTTGTTGAATTTCAATCTTCTCGACTGTCATGTCCGGATTCATGGCCGTCGCTTCCTGCAGAAGATAAGTACACGTTATTGGACTTCCCAAAGTATAATGCAGCATTCCGCCTTATACTCACTTGTATTGCCTCAGCCAAAGCTTTGTCATGATCGATTGGATCGCCGTCGGACTGAATGGTGATCTTCTGTTCCACACGTGTCTCAACAATCCCATCGCGTTCGGTTTTGTACTGTGAAGGAAGGCCGGGATGATACGATCCATTAACAATTTGATTAGCATGATCTTTGAAAGATGGATTAACCTGATACCCATTTGAACAAGGGACTGATGTATGGAATATAGTACAGTGGAATGCGCACGAGCACAGGAAATATGTTTTGGAGGTAGTCGAGTGAAGTAGCCTACCTCTGAATACTTACGCACTCAGCGTATGGGGTCAGTGACAGGGAGCTGGTCGGTGTGTCGGTTGCCCACAAGTACTTACGGTAATGGTTTCCACAGTGCGAGTTTTACTGCTCACGGTTTGGGTAGAGATGATTTCGCCGTGTCCCGAGTATCCGGGTGTGTCCTCGCCAAGCACCACACGGGTGCTCTCCACATGGGGGCCAGTGGTTGTGGTGGCGGAGCTCGAGTAAAGCGGAGATTTCTGTTGGGAGAATTAAGTCAAGTATAGAGATTAGACAAGAACATCCAAGCCATGCACATCCTTTGTTTATGTCTAAAATGATATTACTGGGATGCAGCACAAACCTGGTTGTCAGTGCGCACCAGACTAGAACCATCATATGGTCCATCGATGGGCGTGCCCGAATCGCCCGAGCTGGTCGAGGAAACGCTGTCTCGTCTCTGATACTAAGTTACAAAAACATCCACAACAGCGAGGCAAATACAATACAAATCGAGAAAGAATAAAAATCAAATCAGTCATGCAAAACAAAAAGTGCAGTCATGCGATATTGGATTCAATGATCTGTCTTACCTGGTCTCCGCTAGTTACCGTCGCCGTCGTCTTCACCTCCTGGGTGACGACGCGTTGCTGTTGCTTGGTGGGGTCGTGCGTGCGGGTGGTAGCTACTGTCTTCTCCTCCAACTGCTCGGTCTTGGCATTCTTACCCAGATCTTCATGCGTGGTAGCTGTGCGGGTGGTGACAGCGGTGGCCGTGACATAAGCGCCGCTCAGATCGGTTGGTGTTGCATCAGCCTAAGGTGAATGCGTGGATAACGGTGGGGTTAGTGCGTATAATTCAACAACATTTTACACAGCAACAACAACAGCAACAAAAATAGCAAATCGGAAAGAAAGAAAGTTCAACTAAAACTTAACTGGAGGCATACGAAAATGTTATAAGCGTCTGAGAGGTTCATAGTAAGAATTAAGGCGAGAGTCAAATGCAGAAAAAGACATAGAGAGGTGGAGTATTCCATTGCTAACCTTGTGTTCCTGTGTCGAGAATGTCACTTCACCCGTTCCCAAGTTTCGAACCTCCTCCTCGACATTGTGTGTGACGCCGTCGTTGTTCTTGGTCAGCACCTGTTTCGTAGTCGTCTTCACTACGGTGGGCGTGCTCACTGGCTTCCCCAGCTTGGAGCTGGCTCCTTGGCTTGGACTGCTTAGCACAATGTCCTTTACTGTATCGCTGCTATATTGCTGGGTCATATCATCCTCAGAGCTGCCCTCGGAGTCACGACGCAATGCCTCCTTGCCAATATGTTTGACACCATCGAAGAACTGCTGCCGGGTGATCGGCACCGTTTCTGTGGTGGTCTGCACTTGCGCCTGCTTGCCAAAGTGGGACGGATCGATCTGGGCGTAGTTGAGGATCAGTTTTCCAGTGACCGGGTCTGTTACGGCTGTGGCCGGGTCGATGTCTCCCGTGTTCGGGTCTATGTCGCCGTACTCGCTCTTTATGCGACCCGTCACGGGGTCAATCTCGCCGGTTAGGGTCATCGTGTGGGTCACAGTGGTGCGGGCTCCAGCGAAGCGGGGATCGTTGGGGTCGACCTGCACAATTTCACCAGTAACCGGGTCAATCATATTATAAACGTAAACGGTTTTGTTGAAGAACTTAAGAACACGACCAGAGACGGGATCGATCTCACAGGTCTCTGGATCGATCTCCTCTGGGCGACCGCGCTCATCAGTCTTAGAAATGAGCAGAATGCGAACTATGACTATCTTCCCGGTTTTGGGGTCCACACGAGCCAGCTTCGTGTAAACATCGCCGGACTCTGGGTCCACCTGCGTTGCGGCGTACAGCGGTTCACCCGTGGCTTTGTCCACCTCGCCGGTGGCGGTGTAGATCTTTCCAGAAGTGGGTTCAATTTTGATCGTGTTGGGGTCTAGCTTGGTTTGTTTCTTAATCTCGTTGGTCTTGGGGTCTAGGTAGCCGTAAATGGTGATGACGTAACCCGTCTTAGGGTCGACGCTGCTGGAAATGTATTGCTGCTCCTTGGTACTGGGATCGCTGGCACCCGTGGGCACCCAGATCTGGTTCGACTTGGGATCGACAATGATGTCTTTGTCCTTGGCTGCGCTGACCTGGGCAATGGGCGCCTTGGTGGCGGGGTCTACTCGTTGTTGCACAATCCTCAGAGAGATTATCCTGGCATAGTCCTTGTCTGGCTTGTTGTTCTTGGGGTTGATCTGGTTCTTTAGTACAATCTGGCCGGTGGCAGGCTCGATCTTAATGTCACGCGTCACTGTCTTTCCCGACTTTGGGTCGTTGAAGGTGATGGTGTGCTTGACCAGATCGATCTGTCCGTACTTCGTATCGATCTTGCCAGCCTTTGGGTCAAACTGACCACCAGAAGTCTCCACCTGAGCTGTCTTGGCATCTATAATGTCCTTCTTTGAGTCGAACTTTCCAGCCAATGAGGTGACCTCCACTATGGGGTCAATTTGCTGACCAACCTCGATTATTCGGCCTTGGTTGGGATCAATCTTGTTAGTCTTAGGATCGAGGACACCCAGAATGGTGATCTGGCTAGTGCCTGGATCAACCTTGACATTCTTGCTCACCACGATCTTTCCAGACTTTGGATCGATGGCCTTTAGTTCTCCGGTGCGAGTATTAATCTCTCCGTACTTGGTATCCAGCAGGCCAGTATCCAAATTCAGGACTCCCAGAGAGCGCTCAACCTCCCCGTTAACGGTATCGATCTTGCCAGTGGCGGGATCAATTCGGCTAGTGATGACTGTTAGCTCCACCACTGGATTGTCTTGTGGGGTTATGCACACAATTTGGCCAAGCGTGTCATCTAGACGTCCCGTCGTTGGATCTGCTACTCCCGAAACCAAGTGCAGATTACCCGTTTTAATGTCCACATCGCCCTGGAACAGCTCCTTCTTTCCTGTTTTAGTATTAAGAGCCTCCAAGGTGCCCTTCTTTGGGTCAATCACACCATATTTGGTATCAATACGACCTGTCCCTGGATCGAGGATTCCTGTCGAGTGTTCAATCGTTCCATTTTCGGCATCAATGCGTTTTGTAGCAGGATCATACTTTGAGGTTATAACCATTATCTTCACGCGTTTCTTCTTAGGCTTAGCAGCGGCTGCTGCTGCTGCCGCTCCAGCTGCTGCTCCTGCTGCCCCACCAACACCTGTTCCGGCAACCGCACCTTTGCCAGTTTTTGTGGGAGAGCCAGGCTTCTTAGCACCGCCAGCTCCAGCAGCATCAGCCGCGCCAGCATTCGCCAAGCCTCCGTAACCAGGCTCCTTGTTGTAGCGCTGGGACTCTAGAAAATCTGATGTTGGATCAACTATGGGCTTATAGCTGCCCGGTGCCCCGGAAGAATATCCCTGAGGTCCCTTTGTTGGTGAATAAGATCTCTTCTGGGCATCGCTCAGGGGGAAAGCGGCCGCATCTACGGCACTGCCCTGAAGCTTCGCTCTAGTCGTAGGCGAAAGATTTCCGTCTTGAAGTAGCTTCGCTCTAGACTTCGGCGACAATTGACCACGGTTCAACTTGTCCTGGGTGCGGGGTGACAGTTGTCCGGCCTTGAGCTTTTCAGCTGTTTCCTTCAGGGCGCTTTCGTTGCCCGGAGCATAGTTGAACGCCAAGCCAATCTTCTTCTGCTGTGACGTCGGCGAAAGCTGCTCTTGGCCATCGACACCAATATTCTTGGAATTGGGATCCTGGTCGTAGCGGAAGCCACCAGGTGTGTAGGATTTGCGTGTTGGGCTAGCGTTTCCATCTGCACCCACAGCATACTCATAGGGACGTGTGACGCCAGGGGTAGATGAGCCCCGATTCTTGGCAGCATTTTTATTAGCCTCATCCTGTTCCTGCTCACCAAGCCCCGAAGTAACAACAAGACCAAGTCGACCCACTTCTTTATCCTTGTCCTTTCCGGACTTGTCCTTGCCATCCTTGGATGGTGAGCCGCTCTTGCTCTTGCGACCCGAGGAGAATATGCCAACGCCCTGGTCGCATGTAAAGGCCCTCAGCATCGCGGTCAAATCAAAAGTTTCAAACATAAAATGAAAGATAAATGGGAGGGGGAAGACAAAATTAAGAATTGTACTCAACTTAAGGAAGGATAACTTAAAATCGGTTCGGATTATCTACAAACTATCGGAACTTACTGTTTTAACTGAAGTGAGGTGAGTTTGGTTGGGTTAGGATGGAAAGGGGTGGAATTATATTTACACAAGTGGGAACGCATTCACTGTGAGTCTATCCTTTAGCCTATTAGACATTATATCTATCAAATATACTTACACTTGTACTTATGTCTATCAAATATACTTACACGTCTGCCGGACTTGTCAGACTTGTTGGAGTCGTTTAGCTCGTCATTGCCTAAAAAACAATTGAAGAAGAATGAGAATAATATTATGTTCACTGTCGAAGATACTCACCATTGACTCCCGATCCTACAGCAGCAGCAGCAGCAGCGGCAGCAGCTGCTTTGGCAGCCTTTTCTGCCTTTTTCTTTTCATCCAGATCTCTCTTCTCCTTCTCCTTGCGTTCCTTCTCCTCCTTTTCCTTGAGCTTCTTCTCTCGCAACTTTGCCTCCTTCTCTTCGTCCTATGGGTAGAAAAAAATCTCTTAGTGAACCTTTCAAGCTTGTGGACAAAATGGCGATATAGGCGGATTTTCGGGAGAATAGGCAACATGCTTAAATGGGAGGCAGTTGTATTTGTTATACAAAATTAAGAGTAAAATACCAGCACTGAAATTTAAATGGGGAGACAGTAAATAACTACTTGGTTAATGAATGTTTTGTGTAGACTGTCCTTCTTTTGCCTTCACTGAGTTAAATGGTATTTATTTACAGCTCTGGAAAGGAGTTGGATATTTACGCCACAAAATAGAACAAAAATAAAACTAAACACTCATATAAGTTGTATATAAAGAAATAGTAAATGAATGCACACATAAAAAGAGACTAAACGTTTACAATAGACGGCACAGTTAGGAGTTCTTCTTTATACAGAAATTACCATATCAAGATCAAGGAACTGCGCATTCAGAGGTTACCGGATTTTGGGAAAGTCGTTTATGAAATCAAAACAAAAATAAATTAATATGTTCATAAGATTGATCGAATGCAAAAATATATGTATATTAAGTCATGTAGATTTATGTAATTGATAAGCCCTAAACGAAACAAATAAACCATGGGGGAGGTCATCAAATAAATTCCTTCCATATTTAAGCTCACAACATTCGATAAGCAGAGTTCAAAGCCGAAAATAAGTAAATTAGGAGAAATCGAGGGAAGTAATCGATTCTGATACTGTTTACGTATAAAAGTGTTCACGTTAACCTGAACTTGAGGCGGCAGTTCGGTCTCAGCGGAGGCTGCGTCGGCCGCCTCGATGTGGGTCTCATAGTCACCCTCGAGGGAGCTCTGCGAGGAGGCCGAACCTGTGCCGGTGCTCGATTGGCGCATTAACTGGTTATTTATTAGGATTTAAGATTCGGGGTTTTAGTGTGTAGTGATAGGGCGAGTCAGTTCAGGCCACAAGGGGGGCAGCGGAATTACGAGCACATCATTATCATTATCATTATCATGGATGGTGGGTCACCAGATACGAAGACGAAGACGTACACCATGTTGTTGTATCAGTAATTAGTGGTTTGAGTGCGTGTGCGTGTGTTTTCGTTTGTTTGGTTTGTGAGTGAGTTAGTAACAAACCGAGAAGAAAGTACAAAAAATATTTTGTTAAATCCGAAAATCTTTAAACATGGTCAAGTTAAAGCCAAGCTAGGCAAATGCCAGCAGGAGTTTTCAGTCAGCAGCGTCAGTTACCTTATCCTTTTTGTTCTTAATTGGACTACGGCTGTGAGCGTCAGCATCATTTCCACGATCTGCCCGGTCTCCTCGATGGTCCAGGGTGCTGCTCTTGCGGGCCACCTTTTCCTTCTCGGCCATGGCGAGCGCTGAATGGGAATGGGCAAAGACATCAGAATTGCAATATAAATAGCTAAGGAAACGAATGCCGAGTCCTACCGTCCATGCTGCGCGACGTAAGGCGAGCCCCTGATAGGGTTCTGTCAAACTTGGGTGCCGTACGGTCCACGGGAGTAGCTCTGGTTTCGTATTGAGTGCGTCCCTTATAGCGGTACTTTGACCCGAACCTGGGGAACAGGGTGGACTTATTGTCCGGCTCCGGCGTCATCAGGCGGAAGAAAGTGTGATGTTCCACACAGGACTTCCAAAGCTTTTTAGCGGCCCGATGGTTAGCAAGCTTAAAACCAATGGTAGATTCATATTGCTCGAATTCACCCGGTCTTATCTTGATATAGAAGTGGTGTCGCTTGTACGAGATCTTCAAGATCTTAGGCCAAGCGAAGCGGTTGATGCGCAGTCTGCAAGGGAAAGAGACGATGAATTATCGAAGTTTTGGATTGAGTTTGAGAGTCTCTTACTTGTCGCGGTAGACCAACAAACCGGATGCACACACTCCCAGCATAATGTCTACTCCTTCGGAGTCTTTGGCAGGGTGCAAGTCCACGCCGTACATAGCCAACTTCTTGGCATTTTCCAGGTAATGCAACTCAGCCTCGGCAGGCGATTGGCCCCTGAAAAGTTAGGATATGTTAAACGATGGCCATCGCTAGATTGGAATGTTTTGTACTCACTTGTGCGTCTTGTGCAAGTCCATAACTTTCTCCTCGAGCTCAGGCGTTTGATTGGGAGCGATTTTGAAGTCTTTTAGATAGGCCCGAGTGGGCATATCCTTGGCATCATAGTCGCCCATCTCGGACTGGACCAGATAGGAGCCGAGCAAGGCGTGGGTGACAAATGTGCACGGCAGCCTACCTTCCAAGATGTCGTTGCGCACCTGCAGGCACAGGTGGTAGCGCGTGATATCCTCCTGCAGCTGCGATGGCTCCGGCGGATAGAACTTTACCGCAAACGACAGAGGCCACGGGTCTGTGCGAAAGAATTTCGCCACAGGTTTTTCCAAGTCCAGCCAGGTGCGCAGATCTGTGGGCGTCTCATAGGTCAGACCAAAGTAATCCTTCTCAATAATGTTCAGGCCAGCACATATGGAGTTCACTAAGTCGCGACCCTTGGCCTTCCGCTTTGTGATTGAAATGGTGATTAGCATTGCGATAAGTCATGATTGCAGGGAGACATTAATTACTTACATCAATGGTCACGTCTAGAATGGAGCCATCGAGCAGGGTAACGCGGGCTAGAGCGGCCTTTGAGAATGTCGATGAATTGCTCTTAGGTTTGCTCTTGGTCGGCGTTTCCGGCTCAGCGGGCGCGGATGGTTTAATTTCCGCTGGCATCTTTATCTTATGAGGGCTCGCTACGCCAGCAGCTCGGAGGACGCTGCAAGAAAGGGAAAACTTTAGTTGGTGCAACAACAGATGCCCCTGGCTCCCAGCAGTACGGAACAGCCGGATGTGCCCACTCCTTCTTCTTGTATGTGTGGGCGCCTTCGCTCATTAGGCGTCTGCGGCCATAAAATTGTTCAATTTACTTGGCGCCAGTTCGCAAACAAAAATGGGGCTCATGCCAGCAAGGAAACTAGCAGCTAGCAGGGGTTTCTACCCTCTGGGGCAGCTACTGGTGTGGCGACTATGATGTCATGCGAAAATATGGCGCTGATGAGACAGTAGTCGGTACTTACTTGAAACTGGCTTAGTATTTTCTCTGCAAGAGCTCCCAATATTTTAACGCTTTCTTGGAGAGCTGCAAAGATGTTGAAGTCGAGAAAATGTTCATTAAAAGTTGAATTGCAATGGTTAACGTTTAACTAGCGAAAGCCACATTCGCATGCCATTCCTTCAAACAAGAGCAGACTGAATCGAGTCTCATGGTCGTAAAGCCTGCTAGGCAAACTAAATCGTAAACAGCACATCATTCGAAACTCGCAGAAACTATACTGAAATGGTGATTAGCATTGCGATAAGTCGTGATTGCAGGGAGACATTAATTACTGGGGTAGCTCTAATTTCCCAATCGTAAATATTGCCTATAAGTTACAGAAACGATGTCTAATCATTTTCAGCGGAAGTCCTTTGCATAAGCTGAACGTCAACTGATCTTTTCAAGCTCACGTTTCTGAGCCTCTGGTCCAACTTCAGCAACGACATGTTCATATGTATGTTGGATATATTATTATTCGAATATATCTGCGTGTATGTGTATGTGTGTGTCGAGTTATATAAGCCGGCAAGTCGAGGCTGCGTCATGTTCTACTTCTTATCCCATTCCGTTCCCCTTCGCGATCCCGTTCCGTTTTGCGGTTGGCGTTTAGCGGGACTTGAAATTGTGAAAATAATTCCATAAAATGTTCGGAGCGTTGCTATCGGTTTGCTCTTTTCTAGATAGCCAGCCCCACCCAGAGAACTTCAAGCCTTAAATCAACGTTGATTGAAGAATTCGTTAACGGAAAAGGAATGAGAGTCAATTGGCAGAAGATGCACTGACCAATTGCACAGCGAGTTCAATTTAGTTTTTAATTGATTTCGAATGTGGGATACACTCTCTTCTGCTGAAGGGTTCACGATTTCAAAGAGCAGGGAGCATGGGTATTGACTAAGAGAGCTAGCTGAACCAGTTTAGGAGAGTATTATTGAGACGTGGAATCGTGACCGAAGGCAAAGCTGATGGGTCAAATTATTTCCAGTATGTACATACATATAAACGAAAAAACAAACTCGCAAAGAACATCGCAGCACAATTTCAATTTTGGACAGCAGGCGACAGCGCGACCCCAAAGAGAATACAATTTTGGTGGCGTCATCGTGCGTTCAAAATTATACGAAAACTCACAAAATATGTATGTTGAGAAGCAGACCAGACCCAGAACCAGAAAAGCAGACAAACATCTAATTTATATTATTTTATTTCTTTTTTCTTTTGTATATCATGAGAAGCATGTGTGTGTGTGTGTGTGTGAGTGTGTGTGGCTCTTATAGCATTATTTCTGCTGTGCTGTGTGTTTATTCCCATAGTTGAAGGTTGCGCATACGCAATGTTGACATCATCGAGAGAAGGTTGCAGTTGCTGAATTACTTTTGGTAATTGCAACTCGCTTGGATTGTATTGGATTCGATTGAGAGCGAAATAGTGATGTGACTGAGGGCACACTTGAGTGATCAACGTCGGTGAATCAGCATAATTATCTCTGGGTACCGCATTGCAAATCAGTTTGGCAGCAAACCCAAAACAAATCGTGAAATTGTTGATAGGGAATAAAGTTAATCGTAGCATGTAACACTTGTGTTTGCATTAACGATGACATCATCTTCGAAGCGTCAGCTTACACCATTAAATCGAGAGCTATTTCTAGAGAATATTGAAATATTCGCAATAGGTGCCGACACCCAAAAACAGAAGAGCATTCGCTTCAATTGAAGGAGGTCGAGGTGAAATTCATCAAGTACCAGAGGCAGTAGCTGGCTCTGGGCTCTGGTCTCTTTGCGATTGTCTAATCATGACGATGTTGTAGTCGGGGTGAGAATAGATACATTTGTTGAAAAAGACAGATGGGCAGACAAACAATGCGGCACACATTGCCATGCATACACATTGAAAAATATGTCTTTACATGTATTGTGAAAGTAACAAAGTTTCATCCACGTACAATGACCAGAACAACAAAAGATTCCATTTCATTTCATTCCATTCAGCCGGTTGCCCCCGCCGGTCATCCCAATTGAGACTGCCACTCGGAGTGCTTCTGGGCGTAGTCTGCTGCGCCTGCTTCCCCTTAATTAAGTTTCATTTAATACAACTTAAATCAAATTAAATTTGCATTGGTGGCCCTGGGCAAACATAAATGACATGTATGATAAATGAATAAATGACGGATAACTGGTGTAGCTCTACTTATTACTCATTTTATTTACTTCTCACACTCCACTCAACACTCTGTCATCACATTATGTCACCTGGCAGTACCGTCATGCCAGTTTGAATGGTATGCAGAGCAGATGAAACCCTGAATGCCCTCGGCTGGAAATTCACTTGAAAAAATTTACTTCTCTATGTACGCGCCAGTGCCCTGGTTGTGAATGAACTTTCGCTATATGGCTATTAGCATTAAGCTTTTCCTCGCCGGTAAAATGCACAAAACTTGTCGGAGCTGCCATTTTCCAGAATCAACGAACCGTTACCAATAAATTGAATTTAAAATGTGCTTTACATCCGTCTGTCCATAAACATGGCCCCGATTCCGTGAGAAAAGCTCATTTACCAGAGAGACAAGAGGGGACTCTTTCTTAACTCTCGCAACATTGACAGTTCGACTAAGTTTCCTGTTTGAATGTGTGATGGAGAGTTCATAGGGTCTCTCTGGATTCTTTTTTGATGTTTTCTTAGGGCGCGAGCAGGAGGAAGTGGAATGAGAAATGCGTAAACATTCGCGCGTTCTGAACGTGCGTTTATGTAGGTCAATCAATACTGTCGGAAAAAGGGTGTGTTATTTCTTGGGAAACACAACGACTTATCGGCCAAACGGAACTGAATTGCATTTGTGTGACCCATGCGGGAAAGCGACTTAGGGGCCTCGATAAGCCAGATCCGTTCCCATTTTGCAACCGTTTCGTACCGAGCACCAGCTCGGTCCTGCAACAAAGATGACCACGAAGTGTAATCGTCGGCCCATGTTAAATGTAGACCGTGCAGATATGTATGTACATCCATACAAACTTGAGCAGACGGGTTTCTTGTCATCGCTTGCCACTTTTGGCCAGCTCAAGTGGCAGCTTTACCCAGTGACGCTTGGCTAATTACCAGCCTGCTCTGATCAGCGCTCGCTGACAGCTAGCATAACAGTGAGACACCCTCACCCACACACCTGCATTCTGTCAATAGCTATTTAAGGTGCTTGAGTCTAGTTGGCCAACGAACTCTGAATGCAGGCGATGTTGCTGCTGCTGCCGGATCCACATCGCCGCAATTTTATTTTTGCTTTAACGGAATGGGAAGGCGGAGCCCAAATAGGGCTAGGGGAAAGGCTCGGCATGTAAACAGCCGCCACAGTTTAGAATTTTGTCCACTTCAGCACTTTTCATATAAATCATAGAGCTATAGACGCTCCACCAGCCACACGACCGCCGCTCCACAACAAAAGTAAAAATCAATGCGACAACAAATAAAAATAGAATGCAAAATGACGGTGGAGGGGTGGGTCTCAGGAAAGAGGGCAGAGTAGCTGGAAGCGAGCTGGAAAAGCTGCCTTCCGTCTGATTGAGTGTGTTGACAGATTAGATTGGTTCCACCGTCAGAGCGGTGAGAGTATGGGGGCGGCGGAGAGTGCTAAGAGCACGAGTATCATCAGCCTTTGATGAGGAATTGTCATACGTTTCGATTTACCTTCGGATCATTGGAGGAGTCCTACTCTGTGGCCCCTCTATCCCGTGTCCTAAAACATCAGTTTACTATGAATTGAAATTCCCCAAGCCTGGCCTGCTCTTCCGCTCTCTTTAAGCTGCTCTCAGCTTCTCTCAAGAGCGCTCTCTGGTGGGCTTCTAATGCTCACAGACACACCTTGTTGGCTCTCTCCACATGAATTCAGGTTTTACATTCCATTCGACGACTCTCTGATTTGACGCTGATTCCGACTTTTGTTGTTTGGCCATGTTTGCGTGCTGCCAAGTCGTTAGCTAGCGCTCTTGCTCTCGCTGTCTCTCACAACGAGTATTCTCGGATTTTATTATAATTTTCTACTTGCTTTGTAGCGTGGTTTTGTTGTACAGTTATTAGCATTAAGTCGCTGGTACTCCTCATCCTAACCTCAGGTCTACCGCTCTTTTGCTTTGCTCGCCTGTTTTATCTGTTTGTCCGCTGTACAGCCAATTTCTTGGCTTGCAACCGGTTTCTAATGCAAGCACTCTTTCGGTCACTCTCTTTCACTAACTTCTCTCTGTCTGTCTTCCACGTATGTACATGTATTGCATGAAGAAGTCTTTATGTAAATATCTACAACTATTTGGGTCAAAGCCCACAGCTCTCCAGACACCTTTCGTGGTTGCAGCCACGTTAACAACTGCTTTCCATGCCACCCAAAGAACCGTCGGCAAGTCAACGCCCCAGGTTTTCCGGGGATTGTGAAAATCGTTCTTGGTCTTAGATGACGCATGGCTGAGGGGGCAGGGGAACAGTCACCTGCCATTCATAACTCATAAATATACACATTCATGGCCTTTGTTTTGGTTCCTATCTTATCGGCCGCATTCTAGCCGTGTTCCCTAGTAGTAGGGCTAAAGGCTTTGCAGTTTCCGATATAGGCATAGACCACCGATATAAAAATGCCAATGCGAAAACCCGCCTAATAGTTGATAAGCAGCTGAAAGCCTGCACGACGGCAATCGATTTCCATGGCACCAGGCGATCTATTTTGGTCCTAGTGACGTCTACATGGTAGCCCCTATAAAGCAAGAGACCTGGTACTAATTGAACACGCAGTTGGATGCGATCTATCCACCCTGTGAAATATGTATGTCGCATTCCAAAATTACAAGCGAAACGCCTCTATGTATAGATACGCACACGGGCAGCGTTTTCTTTCAGATACATTTGTATCTGATCGGTGTTGTGGAACGTTTCCTTGACTACCACTGTCCAATTGGAACTTGGAACCCTCCCCTGTTGCAATGCCAGCCACTACTTTTTTCAGACGACTTGGCAAATGTCAAAATGCGAAGGAACTGAGGAAAACAAAAAATTGAAGGAAGAGTGGAGTATGGCGAGACAACAGTAAAAGCAACAATGTGATGTGGGACGAATACACGTACAGTGGGCAAATCAAGAAATGGAAGAATACCGTGCTAAAAGATACTCGAAAAGCTTGATAGCTCACAGATACAGACACCAGCGCTAAACAACTGAGGCCAAACATCAACTCTCCCCTCTCTTTTTCTCTTTCAGAGAGCGGCTCTCTCAGCCCGTGCATGAGTGAGTGAGTGAGTGGCTATGAAGTCATTCTGGCCCAAGTGTATTTGTGTGCGTCGGAAGCATAAAATGAGACGGAGACGAAAGCCACAGAAAACTCCCGACCACAGCCCAAAAAAAATGTAAGCAGCCCAGCAAAAAGGCGCGATTCGGGTGTAACTTTCAGATACTCACCAAGAAGTCGTCGCTCTGGAATCCTTTTGATATTCCACGGAAAGCATACGTAGATGAAGATACTCTGTGGTTGTGGTGTTTGCTGTTTTTTTGTTGTTTTCACTTTTCCCGATTTGCAATTCGATTCGATTTCTACTGCATTCACACAAGCCTATGCAAATAAACAAATTCTTGGACACTTTTTTCTTTTCAACGCGAAAAAAGATAATTTGTTGTCGTTGAATACCTGTTGAAAATTGTACGTGAGTTTGAGTGAGTAATAGAGACTAGAGTGAAAGAGAGGCAGAGTGAATGAGAGAGAATGATAGACAGGGGCAGCGAGGGTGGGAAAATAGGCGTGGGCGAGTGGGAGAACTAGAAAACTGCACGAAAAGTGGTAGTTAACAAATTAATTTCCAATTTATTTTTAAACACACTGTCGAATTGCGCGCAAACGGGATCGGATACGGATCGCAGATGCTTTTTGGCCAAATTCTGTCAGCCCGAAACGTACCGTCTTTAAAAATATTCGAGAAGGCCCAAACCCAACCGTTCGGTTTCGCAGTTGAACAAATTTTGGGAGAGCCGAAGATTGAGCTAGATGAAATGACTCCACTGAAACGCAAAATTGAGCATTGCGCTCTCTTGTTAGTTCTCTTTGAGGGTGATTTGGTCAGCCCAAGGCTGGAATTATACAAGGTGGTCTCGTCGGCCGCCAAATCGATTCGATTTCTGGCCCCTATCTGGTGAGTGCCTTGTCGACTGACGAATTTGTTCACAAATATTAATGCGTGTACGCGGCATGGTTAGCCGACGAGACCACCTTGTATAATTGCATCATGGCCCAGGGTAAGTTAATTTATAAGGTACGGTGTTAGGTGCCTTTGGACGCATGGTATAACCTTACACTAACTTTAGGAATATATTAACTGTGCGAGTTTTGCTTTATAGTTTTTAGACATGGGTAAATTTAGCTGATTGATGCTCTATAGTTTGAGTTTTATTGCGCCTTTCCATTTCTACATTTCATTTATGTATGCAATTGGTATCAATATCGTCAGCGCTTGCGGTAAAGACAAGGCTTAAGCGAGAACGGCTTTAGCTTGACCGCCTTGTCCACATGCCGCATCTTCTTGAAGTGAAAAAAGTAGAAATAGTTGACGGCCACATCCTTCTTGACGAGATCGAAGCCGCAGGCGCTCACATTGCGTACAAAGGCTCGTGCATCCTCGAAGCGCGACTGAATCTCCGCAATGTAGACGTTTCCATGCAGCTTGAGCACTCGATTTGCCTCCAGGAAGAAATCGTTCAGGTTGGTACCCATAAGCGAGAGGCAATAGACAGCCACGTCCAGGCATTGCGGTTCCAGCGGAGTGTTCGTAATGTTGCATGCTATGATGTCTCCCCGTGAAGCGACCAAATCCATGGAGTATACCTTGTTCGGCAAGGATTGGGCGAGCTTGCCATCTCCACAGCCAAAGTCGCCAATGATTGTGGTCTTGGGCAGCCGTTTAACAGTCTTGATAATGCGATTCAGCGGATTCGCTGGCCACTTTTCCACTTGCTGGCGGTAACCGGCGTGGTAGGCATCGAATGCGGAGGCATCTGAGCGGAACATGGCCTCCGCTTTATGACTATTCATTGTGTAGAGTTGTTCGTTGATGAATCGGAAGCGTCCACCCAGGAGCTCCGTCTGCAGCTTGTTGGCCAGCGTGGGTGCGTCAGCGGTTGTCGGCGTTACTTCCATTGCCTCCAAAGCAGCCTGCGCCAGCTCCGGCTTCAGAACGAGTTGTTTCTTGCCACCTTTCGTCGTTTGGACTGAAGGACGCTGCTTTTCCACGCGGCCAGATCGCACTTTGTGCATGGCCCGGATTTCGTCATCTGCCTCATCGTCGGACGAGCTGTCCGCCGGCGGAGCCAATGGCCCCACACCTGGTCTGTATTGAAATCTGCCATTGGCCGTGACTGTATCCGTTCCCGCCGCAGGCGTTGCCTTTGGCCTCTTCTTCTTTGGTTTCTTTTTCTTTGACTTCTTTGTGGCACCAGCTCTGCTGCCTGCCGAGCTCATGGGCATAAACTCAATTATTTCGGCTCCATCTTCCCAGGGAGGGACTTCAAACGGCATCTTGGAAAGAAATTTGTAAACAAAAGTGACGAACACGTGAGAGTGAGACCGACCAAGAAAAAAAAGAGCTAGTGCGTTTGAGTGTGGCAGACGCAGTGAAGAGAAAAATATCATAACGCGTTCTGTTGGGCGCCACATTCAAAACTAAACTGATTTACAGTGTTTTTTCAAATACTTTTTATTTTCACTAAACTAGAGTTCAACAATTTTGTGTTTGTTATATTTTTCTGGATTAGTTTTTAATTTTCGGTTTTACGCTTTGTCATAAGAACTAAATAACTTAAGGTCTAGATAATATTTTTACAACTGAAGACGATAAAAAAGTTTTGCTCGGAAAGTTCTCTCCTAATTGTATATTACCTAAAACAGTGGTTTGACAAGTTTCAACACACAAATAATGACATTTTCAGACATTTAGTGTATATGTTAAATTTGCATGTAATTTTGTGTGTTATTAGTTTAGAAAAGTCTTAATTTCTAATTTTGTTTCCCAACAAACCGTATCTGCCTTGCATTCCTAAATACTCTTCGTTTTTTCACGATCCATGTGTAATATATCGTTTCCTTCCCATTTCGGTATTGAAACAATTCAAAAGCAGATTTAACCAGCTAAAAACATTGCGATTTACAATTGCTAAAGACTATGAAATATTTATTAGTTTCTAGTTGTCTTAGTAAATCTCGTAGTGTATAAATATGTATGTATGTATGTATAATTGGATTTTCTTGCTTTCGCCCGCAGCTGACTATTTATAAACGTATTTATTGGCTTTGTGAAGCGTGTACACAAATCTTTATCATAACTATCGATTATCGTAGGTCATTAAAGTTAGTTGTATAAATTAAAGCATTGTTTGTAATACAAAAATATAACTACAACGGAATCAACGGGCAGACGTAGACTGTGAGACTTACAAGTATCTATTATGTTTGTATAGCGCAAAGATTGGGACAAGACTCTTCTGTGTATTGGTTGTCTTGGATATTACATGTTTTGGATCTCTTGGTTATGGATGCTGCTGCTGCCTCTACGTGCAATAAAAGTGCGCTAAGTAGCTATCGAGCTCACGACATATAAGTGGCTTCTACTTCTTCTACCATCTATCATCAGTAATCCAATTCTTAGTTCTACGAGTAATTTAATTACAGTTATTAGTTGACGACGTCGGCGCTTCCTGCCTTTAAAACGTATTGTGTACAGTGTAGCGAATTTAAGATATAACAGTGGGGCGTCTAGTAACTAGCCTCGTGTCCGGCTAAAATGTACAGATCGTGTCCCTCCTCGCTGCCCAGGGAGCCAGTTCTGAGTAGCTGACTCTCCAAGGCAACAACCCTGAAAAATACATCAAATTTGACCCGGCGATTAACGGCCGGAATCGATACGAACTGAATGGGTTATGCTTACTTGTCGCTGCCCAGCAGCCGGTAGGTGCGACTCATGTCCTTGATCTCCTGCGTCACCTCTCCATTGCGCAGCGATTTTCCCTGCATGCCGTGCTTGTGGAAAGCCAAGACGCTGTCTGGTAAGCAAACTGGAATGGATATATGAGGTCAAGTGTTGGGAATTACTGTTGGAAGGGGGGGGAGTGGTATGCCATTTAGCATATCTTACCAATACTGTCCACGTTAAAGTCAAAGTTGAGCTGCGATACCATCTTCTTGTGCTGCTTGGGGTTGCCTTGGAGCGTGACCACCTGTATCACATTGCCATAGCATACGAGAATGGCGTCCTTCTCCACCTGGTGCACACGCACCACCTTCAGGAGGTCGCGTCGCGGCACCATCGTGGCCATGGCGTCATACTCCAGGTCCTCCGAGTGGAACCAGCTGGCACCTGCAAGACAAAGCCCGTTTAGACCTCTTTGACCATGCTCTCTGCCGAAGCAGCTTCCACCACGCAACTGTTCATGTTGATCAGCTCCAGTTTAAGGCAACCGTTCATCGCCTTGCGCACTCCTGTGCACACAATGGGGTACTCCAGCTCCGGCGTGATGATCATCTCGAAAACGGGCGTGTGTCCGTTCTGCACACAGCCATGGCCTCCTCCCAGGATGCTGATGGCCGGCCACTCGCACTGCTTCAACAGCATGAACTTGTTCAGCGGATCGTACCACTGCATCAGGAAGATGCCGCTGGGCGTCGCTCCACACAAATACTTGTATCCGTTGTAGGGGTTCCTCGTGACGCAGCACTGGGTGCAGCCCTTTGTATCGGGCACCTTGGTTGTAAGGGCAAACTTCCTGGGAACCAGCCGCTCGGGGATCTTGTTCATGTGCAACGAGAATCGAACCGTTTGCTTGGAATGCAGGGCCACGAGATCGTGCCTGTACAGCTGGCAGGATTTGCCTGCAATTAGCGATGGAAACGTTAGCTAAAAGCAACGAAATAAGTGCCTAATCAAGCGAACACCTACCAGACAGACTCATAAGCACGTCCTTGATCACATACAGCCAGGTAGTGCGGCGCGGGAAAAGCTGATCGATAGCCGCATCGTGGAGCTCGTTCATATTCAGGTTGTATATGCCCTCCTCGGCACCGATCAGCAGGTGCTGGTCCCGCGTCTCAGGATGGATCCACGAGGCGGTACAGTGTACCCGCAGGGGGCAGCCGTTGAAGATCTTCGAGAAGCAGGCGCCCATGTGCACCTTGGGAGTGGGCGGCAGTCCGTTGGAGATGGGCCTGGGCGGCGTGTGGCGACGCTTGTGCGAACGCTTTGGCGGCACAGGAGGCGTATTGTTCAGCAGATCTGGTTGCGCCTCCTTTTCCACTGTAATGGGATAGGTTAGGAATTGGTAAAGAACTCTGCTATACATTCACTTGTGCACTTACCTTCTTCGTCGTCTTGGGTGCCACCATCACTTAGGCTGCGTGTCCGCGAAGATTTTCCCATATCATTGAGCAGCCCGATCAACTGATCCATGGAGCTATGCCGCCGCGGCGAGTCTTCCAACCCATTCTAGAAAAGAGTTCAGGAGTGCACTGGGTGTTCACTTTGATGTCACACCTCTCTCACCTGGTTGCTCTCGTGCCGGAAATCACAGTTGGTGCCCGCTGTGGAGCATGCCGCCGCACTGACGGGTGTCTCTCCGGAGCTGCTCCTCAGCAGATTCTGGTAGAGGTGCGAGGAGCTGCTGGCTGTGGCCTCATCGGCCGCCGCTGCTCCGGGGCTGGCCGTTGGGCAGCTGGAATGCATGAAGCCGTCGCCGATCGATTGCGTCACTGGCGGGAGTGTGTTTTCTGCCTCGACACCGTTGGTGCCTCCGGCTACGCAACTACCGCCAGCGCAGCCTCCACCGCTAACGTTTCCGCCAACTGCATCGCCGCTGGAATTATCGAGGAGTAGTAGGCGATTATAAAACGAAGCTGATGACGCGGAGGACGATATGCTGGATGTGATCAACCCATGGCCATGGCCCTGGCCGTGCCCATGCCCAAGCCCGTTTGCATTGGCTGACGCCGACGAAGGGGCTGGATGTGCGGTCTGAGACGCCTGCGCAGCCGCAGCAGAGCGATAATTGCTGCTGTGCCT